ACCACCACTGGAGAGTGAATGTGCACCCCAGGAATGGCACCATGGCCGGGATCCATCCATGTGGTCATGCTGGCTTGGCGGCCTAGGGCCCTGCGCACTAGACTACAGCTGTGCCTGGTGATGCAGGGAACATGCAAGTTCCATGTCAATGCCCCCCAAGAAGGGCCAAGAGCTGGGACCAGATGAAGCCTCAGATCAGGCCGCGTGATCGCTCTGTGCCTGCCTGCCAATACATGTCCGGATGTGCGGCAGAATTTTGTCTGGAAGAAACCAAACCTCACCCACCCACAGCCACTAGCAACTACCAATATCTATCAAAACAGTCCAGTAGCTGGGTATTCAAAACCGCCTGAGGCCCATGATACCCCAAGATAAGGAGCAACTGTTACCGATTATTTATTCATTATCAGAATATTAAAGAATGGCAATCTTGTAGTTAAAAGCCCCAACTTAAGTGGGCCAGTGTTCAAGGCCTGGCTCCACCACCATGAAGTATCAGTCAAGTTCATTTATTTCTCTGTCCTGCTGTTGCCTCCCCTGCAAAAGGAGGCCAGTTAATCGCCCCTTAAGGCTGTTGTGAAAAACGAATGCTGTAACATAGGTGGAAACAGCGAGCGCGTTGCGGGCATGAAACAAACTTCAGCTATTGTGACTGCTATCATTCATGCTTACACTTGCCTGGAGAAAACCCTGTCGGGCTTTATTCTCAAACTGCCCTGAGAGCACTGTCTGGATTTTTCAACACCTCATTTCACCTCTGACAGAGTGCATACTGTCATTTTCTGTAGCTAGCTTTCCCCACATTTCCACTCCCCGACTAGCCCTTAAGTTCCAGGAGAGCGAGGAAGCTTTCTTCATCATCCAGTCTTCAGGGACGTGCCACAGTGCTGGGTACCCACGAAGTGTTGAGTGGCCACTCTCTCCTGTCATCTCTCCTTCCATTGGCATCCATTAGGAACAGCGTAAGCAAAATCTAAGTGCGTATTAGAGTCAGCACAAATATAAGACGACCTGGACAATGCCTAGACACAGGTGGGTATTGGCCCATAACAAACGAAGAGTTTTGGGGTTCCTTACTCTGTGCCAAGCCATGTTTTAGAGACCGTATGTCTAGATCACATACTATCCTCACATAACCCCAAGAGGTACTATCCCACCCATTCTACAGTTGAGGAAAACTGAGGTTAATAGAGCGAAGGTAAAATGCACTCATTCACAAGAGCCCTGGTTGTCCAGATTTCCCAATGCAAACCCAGACCTGAGTCCGTAGCTCTCTTATGGCTTACACATTTTTCCTAATGGTCCTCAGTTAAAGTACCCCAAATTTCTATCACCAACCTCAAGCTTCTCCTAACTTGTTTTCTAAGATTTTATTTTTAAGTAATCTCTACACCCAATGTGGGGTTGGAACTCAACCCCAAGGTTGAGTCACATGCTCTACCGATTGAGCCTGCCAGGCGCCCCCCCAAACTTCTCCCAATTTAAACATCCAACTGGGGGCACCTGGGTGGCTCAGTCAGTTGAGTCGGCCTTCGGCTCTGGTCTTGATCCTGGGGTCCTGGAATCAAGCCCCACATCGGGCTCCCTGTTCAGCAAGGGGAGTCTGCTTCTCCCTCTCCCTCTGCCCCTGCTCATGTTCTCTCTCTCTTGCTCACTCTTTATATCAAATAAATAAAATCTTTAAAACAAATAAATAAAATAATCATCCAACGGGTAACTTGCCACTTCCATTCAATTTATAAGAGGCTTCTCAAATGTAACAAAGTCAAAAGAAAACTATTGGGTTTTCCTTCCCAAATGTCCTCCTCCCTTCAAGCCTATCTCACCTAGTAAACTGTCATCAATCCACTTGCTGGGGATAAATCCAGAATCGCTCTCATTCCCACACCCACTTCTTATCCAGACGGAAGTCCAATTCTACCTCTAAAATTAGCCTAGAAGCCAACAACAGGACACTGTAAACACTACAGCCTACGTTAAGGTAAAACACGCTCTCCTCAGACTAACAGCAGCAGCAGATCATCAAGATTTAAGCTCCATCAGGAGGCATTTCTGCTCAGTGCTACAGCCTGCTTACACACGGAGGAGGCAGTTAAATCATATTCACTGAATGAACAGCTCTGACTGCTCTCCCTGCCTCCACTCTAGTCCTTGATACGGTTGAGTCTTCACAGCACCCATAGTGATCGAAGCATAAATCGAACCACAGCTCTCACTGGAACAGGAACAAAACCCCAACTCCAACCGTGGCTGACAGTCGCTGGTCACATCTACCCCCACCTGCCTCTTTACCCCATCTGCTTCACTGACGACACCCCAGCCACACTGTACTCCCTTCTGTTCCTTGAAAATCCTGAAAGCCTCCTTACCCAGACCTTGACATGGATGTCTCTCCTTACCGATCAGTCTCAAATCTGGGAGCATTTTCTCAGTCTTCCCCAGCAAGCTACCCAAAGCCCCTCAGCCACCAGGTCTGGTTACGGTACTAGTACTGACCGTTTCATGGTTTAAATGCTTATGGGATGTCCCCACCCACAACAGGATGGCCCACGGAAGGCAGAGATGATGTCTGCCTGGCTCACTGCCCTATCTCTAGCTCCTGGCACATAGTAGGTGCTGTGACATTATGATACAACCAGAAACAGAGATTTGGTCTTCCTCTGTGGCGTGGGAGGCTCAGGAGATTTGTGACTGGTATCTGAAATGTGGGGCGAGAGGCAGTCTTATCTGACTAAGCCTGTGGGATACTAAATCCAGGTAGTGTCATAATTGAGTTGAATTGTTGTGAGTCCAGTTGGTGTGCAGGGAGTTGGGAAACTGGTTGGTGTGGTTGGCTTGGTCAGTTAAGCGTCTGCCTTCAGCTCAGGTCATGATCCCAGAGTCTCACATGGGGTTCCTTGCTCAGCAGGGAGTCTGCTTCTCCCTCTGCCTGCCTCTCCTCCTGCTTGTGTGCTCTCGCTCTCTCTCTCCCTCTCTCCCTCTCTGAGAAATAAATACGTAAAATTAAAAAAAAAAAAAAAAAGAAATGCTGTGAGTAAAAACAGTTCATAGGTGCTCAAGTTAAACCAAAGATTGGCAGAACAGAAAAACTGACTTAGCTTCTGATGGTGCTATGAGGTTTTCTAACGTACAGTTGTTAACAGCCCCATCCATATGAAATCACAGTGTCATCAACCCCTCACTGCCTTGAGACGCACCACATTTTTGCCTCAAGCAGCCTAGAGAAAGCAGAAGTTAACTTTCCCGCGATGAATGGCCAGGATTTGGTTCTTTCCAAAGTCCTGAGAGGGGGATTTTAGAAACAAGTCATTAAATCCTGCCAAAATATCAACCATACCAATAATTCTTTTACAAGACCACTTGAGTCCCAGTAATCATTTTCAAAGCCCTAAATTAGCCGCTTGGAGTCACAGAAGACCTCAAGGGGCTTTCAAGGGACTAGAGGAGGACAGATGCCCCTAAAGGTCTGCAATTACTAAATAATGGGAGGTGTGGCATCAAATTGGAAGGCATCTCAAACAACAACAATGAAAGATTTGCAACTCTTTCTTGAGCTTGGGAACATTCAGCAAATAGCCTTTTCCATCCACCTTGGTCTCAAAAGCCCTGGCAAGGTGGTAAGCACCATCTCTCTCTTCTTGCCTGACTTAACCCAAGTCATTACACTTCAAGGTAAAAACCTCAATTGTCAGGGGAGCCTGGCTGGCTCAATGGGTGGACCACAGGATTCTTGGTCTCAGGGTTGTGAGTATGAACCCCAGGTTGGGTAGGGAGACTACTTAAAAATATAAATCTAAAAAAATCCCACAAAACCCTCAATTTCCTCATGTCTGAAAAGGCCAATGTGAATGTATGCCAAGTACAGTATTAGACCTCAAAAACCAGGATAACTTCACATAGCCACTGGAAGGGTGATGGATTATCTGCCAGTATAACTGGCCAGTTACAGAAACTCACAGTTTAACCCCTGCATCACTTACACGGGCTACCCTTGATTGCCCTAAGGCTGAATGTATTAGAAAGCAACAACATCCCAGCACGTGAATGCCCCCGGAGATAGATTCATTTGGGGGAAAAAAAAAAACATTAAAATTGTGTACAGAATAGAGAACACAGGGAGAAGGGAGCTCCACATCTGTAAGGCTTTACCTAGCTGGTTGTTTCTTACTGTGCGGGAAGGCATGAAATTAGCATTAAAGAGTTAAAACCTAGTAATTCTGCCCAGATGCGCTACTCACCAGTAGGAGTCGCCTATCCCAAGTAGACATATATGTTTTAAGATACCGTATATATGAGTGTAACTGGCAGGTTCAGTTAAAAGGAGGGACGGGAAGGTTCGCGCTCTGCCCAGGCAGCGAGGGTGCGTCCAGCCAGGGTTGCGTCGGCAAACTCGGGAAGCAGGGCTGAGTATTCCCCGCGACCGGCCCTGAGCACCACAGTTTGGAAACAAGGTTTCGAGACATTGTCGAAGGCACAGAGCCAATGCTCTACGCTTGCAAGATGCCAAGTGCAAGCTGCCTGGGCCATATGACCCGAGTTTTGCTCGCGGCAAGAGAAAGGAGACGTTGCCCAAACGCACGTCTTTTTCTGGGCTCGTCGGGTAGTGCAGAGCGGGTGGGCTACGGAGCTCAGCACCACACACCCGTGCCCTGCAGGAGGGGGAGGCGAAACTCTCCGGGGATAGTCGGGTTCCTTCGCCCGAGCCCTGCCTGCCCCGCCCTAAGTCCTAAGACCTGACGGGAAGACCTCGGGGTCTCCTCTCGGGCTTCCCCATGTCCCTTCCAGGCTGCCCACGGCACAGGGTTTCCCCGACGGCTGGGCGCCGCGCTCCCGCCCGAGGCACTCACCCGGACTGCGCAGTGTCAGCCCCGTACGACCCACCTGCCCCAGCTCACTCACAGCTGCGGATCTGCGGCGCGCACGCAGGGAAGTTGGCGGTGCCGGGGCTCCCGGTCCCGCAGCCCAACCCTTCGCCCCCCTCCCGTGCTCCCCCCGCTCACCTGGCCCGCACAGCACTGCGCTGACATCGCGGCGGCCGACGACCATGGGCTTACTCGCCCGCTGCCCGCTCGGCTCCGGCCCTCCTGGCTACCTCCAGCCGCGATCGCCCCTTTCTGGAGCAGCTCACTCCTTCGCGCCCACCAGCCCCAGTCGAAAGCCAGGCACCGCCGCCAGGGTAAAAACAACCGCCGCCAAACCCCGCCTCGCCGCCCAGGCCCCGCCCGCCCCCTCGAGCCGCGGCCGCCCTCAGCCCCGCCCCGCTCCCGCCCCTTCCCTGGCGCTCCTCGGCGAAGCAGGCTCGCCCGGGGCTCGCACTTCCGCTGGCGTCAGGCTGCTTGGCCGCTGCGCTCACTTCCCGGTGCAGCGCTGAGCTGCGCAGTCCGCCCACCGTCGGGCGGGCCCGGCGTCCCCGTGCTTAGCCCGCGCTCGGCCGCCGCGGAGGAGGTCCGGTAGCCCTCTGAGCCGCCGCTCTGATGAGAGAGCTGGTGGCCCACTCCAGGGAAGCTTAGATCTTTAACTGACTGCTGAGTGGCGGGCACAGAACCGGCGCCGTGGAGACCAGCGAGTGCTGGTCGGCTCTCTGCCTCGCGCCCACTGAGATCTCGCCTGGATCCCTGTTTCTGAAATCCCTTTATCTCCCTCCTCTGCCAGGGAAACTAAACGACTTTAGGGAAAGTCCCCTCTTCTCCAGTTTCCTTGAATCCATGGGCCTTTGGCTGTTTGGCCCTGTCTTTGCCAGGGCACTTGGCACTTTAGAGCCAATGAGAATTGGCTCTAAAATTAGGAAATAATAATAAAATAGAAAAAATCTTAAAATAGCATAAATAGTAGCAGACCAGCCCAGCACCCTGCTCCCTGGTAGCCCCGGACTCATCCAAAGCCAAGGCCACTCTGGCCCCATTTCGCACCTGGGGAGACTGGTTGGACACCTAGAGTTTCTGTCCAGGTGGGAAGAGCCAAGCAACTTCTGGGAAAGGGGAGGTGTGACATTTACATGTGTTTGAGCAGTCTGGGATCTAGGCCTCCTATCCAGTTAGAGAAACTGAGGCTCAAGAAGGCAGAGAATTCTCACCAGCAGCCCCTGGGATAGAGGCAGAACTGGTAGAAGGATCAGGCCTCCTGACCCTGAATCCTGTGCTTTTTTTGCCAAAGCGATGCCAACATGGGAGGGTTCTGTGACTATATCAATACCAGCCTCCCAAAGAGTTAACGCAAGAATTAATAACCCAGGGATTTGGGGCGCCTGGGTAGCTCAGTCAGTTAAGTGGCTGTCTTCGGCTCAGGTCATGATCCCAGGGTCCTGGGATTGAGTCCTGCATCTGGCTCCTTGCTTAGCAGAGAGCCTGCTTCTGTCTCTCCTTCTGCCTGCCACTCTGCCTGCTTGTGTTCTCTCTCCCTCTGTGTCAAGTCAAATAATAATAATAATAATAATAATAATAACAACTCAGGGATTTGTCAACTCTGCCCTAAGGTATGGAAAAGCAGAGGGGAAGCCTGAGCTTCCAGAGTCAGGAAGTTGCAAAATTTAACTCTACGAAAACTGGCTGGGCCACTTAGTTTCAGTGTTACCATCTACAAAACAAAGCTAATAATACACTCTCCACAGATTAGATCAACTCACCCCTACAGACCTTGCTGAACAGGGGCTGGCCTTCTTAAGCACTGACTAAATAACAGCCCCGACTGGTATTAATAAACGAGTTTAAATGATAAGAAATAATCTATGCAAGCTGATTCCCCCCTCCTTGCTGGAAGATCTCATAAGAATGTGGCCTTGTGTGGAGCTGTACCACCTGCCTTGCTCTGAGCTTGAGCAGTTACTATTTAAGGTCTGGTTGGTAACATCTTTTGCATCTGTGCTCAGTTAACAAGAATAGAGGTAATGTCAGCAGACATAACATAAAACAGTGGCACCGTAATTTTATTTTAAGTCCTCTGAAGACTTTTCCAAGGAAGACAGATGTACATGGTGTTCCTAATGTGTAGATAAGATACCTTTACAGTCCGTCTCTTTTGATTTGGATTTTTCAGGAACAAGCAGTAATAGGCCTGTTTTAATAAGACTTGCTCTTGGCAGACCGTGTAAAAATATTTCAACCACAAAAATTTTCTTAAATTAACTAAATTAGCTCCTTTTATGCCATATAATTAGATATGTATAGATGACACATTAAAAATAACCAGTTATAATTTGCTTTTTTTTCTTCTTGAATTTGAAGTGCTTGTTTTGGTTTTCTTTTTTAGGAAATAGAAGTCAATGTTGAGTTTTAAAACACTACTCACTGAACTGAAAACAGTGGTATACACATATTATTAAAGAAAAAAGCTAGTCATAGACACCCACAAAACTTCTTTATAAATTTAACGTCCAGTTCAAATAATGGCTTAAATACAAATAAAATTAATTATTCCAATTCCCTTGAATTTTCTCAACTTTGGGAAAAAAGAAAAAACCCTAGTGGTGCACTCTGTTAATTTTGGGGGTTTTTTAGTATTTTTTAAAATTTATTTTTATTTATTTTTATTTAAATTCAGTTAATGTATTATTGGTTTCAGAGGTAGAGGTCAGTGATTCATCAGTCTTATATAATACCCAATGCTTATTACATCCCGTGCACTCCTTATTGTGCATCACCCAGTTACCCCATCCTTCAACCCCCTCCCCTCCATAGGAAACAACCCTCAGTTTGTTTCCTATGCTTAAGAGCCTCTTATGGTTTATCTCCCTGTGTTAGTTTTTATTTTTAATTACTTTTAAATAATTTTTAAATGAATTTTTAATTATTTTTAAAGATTTTATTTATTAATTTGCCTATTTGTCAGAGAGAGAGAAGGAGAGCACAAGTAAGGGTGGGCAGAGGGAGAAGCAGGCTCCCCACTGAGGACGAGGGACTCAATCCCAAGACCCTGAGAACATGACCTGAGCCAAAGGCAGATGCTTAACTCACTGAGCCACCCAGGCGCCCCCCTCCCTCAGTTAGTTTTTAAATATAAAAGAAGAGAACTCTCTAATCTTCACTTATAAACTCTCCAGGGACCTCAAAGTAGTACTGGAAGTTGCATTAATTCCAATTACAGTGAACAACAAAGTATTCATTTAGAAATAAAGAGCTATAAATTCAGGAGCCCAAGCAAAAACTAATCAGAGCCCTGTAGTGCCCCCACCCCACACCTTCTGGGAAGTGCGTGCTCCTTGATTTCTGTTAAATTAACATGTGCACAGTGTTTTTTTAAATGTCAAAAATATGACAAAATAGAATGAAAAGCAGTATCTCCCTTCTACACACCCTACCTTTCAGTCCCCTCTCCAAAGGCAACAACTTTCAATAAGGTAGTGGTTTTCTCCTATTCACCCCCATATTTTCATTTGTTTAAAAAATTTTTATTTATTTGAGAGAGAGAATGAGAGAGAGAGAGAGAATGAGGGCGAGCACACTCACACAAGCAGGGGGAGGAGTGGATGGACAATCAGACTTCCTGCTGAGCACAGAGCCTGCTGCTGGGATCAATCCAAGGTCACCTGAGCCAAAGGCAGACACTTAACCAACTGAGCCCCCCAGGCCCCCAGGCACCCCTGGAAGGATTTTTTTTTTTTAATGTACTTTTATTTTTCCAAATTCAAGTAATGACTGTAAAGAAATTAACAGTATGTTGCCTGGTCAAGATTCTTTGGTTAGATGCTTTAGAGAACTGAAGAAATTTTTCGTAATTATCAATTAGTTTGTCAGTATGGAAAGCTAATGATTCTTTACCACTCAACTGGTGCCTTAAGTGTTTTGCCTCAGTGTTTTAAAGATTCTCCCAGGAACTCATTTTACATTACTAATTTCCTTGGTAAGTCCTGTGAGTATATCTAATACAAAGGAAAATACTCCTTTGAACATCCCAGGGAAACTAAACTCCAAATTAATGAAGAGGGTAGAGGGTTGTTCAATAGGTTTTTCAAAGTTGCTCAACCCTTCTGGGAACAAATTAATTTTTTTCTAAATCCTCAGGTTAATAGCCTAGACTTAATATCAGTGGGGAGAGAACATATATATGTATCATATATGTATATATATATTTCTGTACCCATCTCTGATTTGTGTGTAGGGGCCAAGGACAGACTGTCCCAAGATGGACCATTTGGCATAAAGATTTTTTGAGTTAACTGGAAAAGAAAGCCTGTACCAGGAAGAGAACAATTAACAGAGATCTCTTTCACTAAGGAAAAATCTCCCTGACAGGGCAACCTTTGTTTCCAAACATCTCCTCTCACTTTCTGAGTAGTAGTCTTCCTCCCCTTCCTATCCTCAGGCCCCTCACCCTCTCCTTAGCTCAGCATAAGCCTCAAGTTGCATGTGTTGGGAATGTGTCTATGTGGATTCCCAGTAGGAAACTACACAGTACATAGGAAACTAAATCTGATTTTTTCCTGTTAACCTGTCCCGTGTCAATTTGATTCTTAGTCCAGCTGGAAGGACCTTGAAGGGCAGTGGAAATTTTTTGGTATCAATTTTCCTCTCTTAAATATTTACGTAAACCAGGCAAATCAACATTACAGTCACTATTCAATTTTATTATGAACTTTAAAAAACATTTCTGCGAACAGTTCATTTCTGTTCTTCTGCATACCAAGGGAAATTATTCTGACTTCTTTGGTTTTAAAACTCAATCCAAAAATCCCGATTTCAAGTAAACACATTCAGAGAGGCTTGAGGTTTAGGGGAGGAGGGGAAGACAAAAGAGAGAGAGCAGGCAACCTTTTCAGTTTTCCTGGTTAATCTTTTCTAATTAATTTTCTGAGGGGAAGAACAAGAGGTGAACCCACTTCTTCAAATAAGAGTACTCTGGGGGTTCCTGGTGCTCAGTCAGTGGAGCATAGGAACCTTCATCTCAGAGTTGTATGTTTGAGACCCATGTTGGGTATAGAGATTACTTAAACATAAAATCTTAAAAAAAAAAAAAAAAAGCACCTCATATTGTAGTGTCTTTTTAATGTGTATTTAAAGAGACTACTCCTGTTGGTTTCTTTTAAATCCCCTTGATATGATGCTTCCTTTGAA